GGCTTTTTTAAATTATACTGCTCTATGTGTGCCTTTGTTTTTCCTTCAGGCTGACAAAGCCTCATGTTGTATTAAAGCAATTATTATTTGGAACAAAAGCTTCACACTGCAACTGAGTTTATATTTCCCTTTCATCTGGATGTCAGCTGTCTCTGACACTAAAAAAATCAGTACTAGCTCTCAGTCATAATGCGTCTTTTACTCCTTATTCAGCTGCATTTTTTTTGCCTTTTTGTTTCTTTCTTCTATACCAGGAACACTTTAGTTTGAAAGAGAGATTTCAATCCTGTTGGATTTTACACCTCCTGACCCACATAGCACATGCAGCTATTCTAGAAATAGTTGTTCAGTAAGAGAATTCTTTCCATTGAATTAGTGAATTCTGTGGCTAACATTTTAATAAAATTTTATATTGTGCAACAGGCAAGTGATTCATGACATTGTTAATGTAAATATTAATAATAATACAATAATTATGTAAATATTAATGCTTATCTCAAGCCAAAGGTATGCATGAATAACAGTCTTTAATAAATTTTGGTAAGATCTGTAGTAAATATGTAGTATTTTAGTATGAGCTTGGATATCTTCCATCTTCTAGTGGAAAAACTGTTTAAGAAGGAGTTTCTAACTGTAAAGCAATGCCATGAGGAAATGCTTCTGAGGGCTTTATCAGGTAGTATAACTACTTATGTGCTACCAAGCATAGTCTTGACAAAGTAGTGCTATCACACATTGCAGCATCCACCAGGGCTGATGGGGAATTCTAGAAGATCTCAGTGTTGCTACCAATCTTGAGAGACACAGTTCCTGGCGAGGGGTGCTAAGCAGCATGCTGAATAGCAAATAATAGCTGTTAGGTGCTTTGATCTGTCACCTCTCCTGGAATGAGTCTTCTTAAATATTCCAAGCTTAAATTCTGGCTTTTCAGTGTTAGCAGATACACTGCTTTATGCATCCTTTGCTAGATACGGTCTTGGGATATCTTGGGGTTTTTATCGAGTGCTTTTGAGGGGAAATTAGAGTAGGTCAAGATAGGTAATAAAGGAAATTAATTGGAAGCAGTGGTTTTGTTTATGGGGTGTAGTTAGAGAACAGCTTGTGCATCTTGTTTGTACCACTAGAAGATTATGGTGTGTAGGGCATGCTGCATGCACCACTGAATTCTTTGGGGATCATGGTGTTTAAAATCTGGAGTCTTAAAGCACCACCTCAAAAAGAAAAGAAAAACAAAGTCAACTTTTCATTTTTTTCTGCAACAAAGACAAAGATTTTCTTCTCTGTAAGCATCTGAACACTTTAGGGCAGTTATGGCTCCTGCTAATGCACTTACTATAGTTCTGTCAGTAAAATCTAAAATTAGATAATTTTCGGCTTATTTAAACTGCCTGTCTCTGGTGTTAATGAGTACAGCTCATCTGTGATTGTCAGAGGCTCAAGTGTTACTTGCACTGACAGTCTCGCATCCTGTGTCTTCCATTCCAGGTAACAAGTTTATCTTGATTTATCTTATTGCACTGTAGTGCTGGCTTGTCCACTGCTTCTGCAGCCCGTTTCTGTGGCCCTAGTGACATCACATCATCTCTCTAATAAAGCCTCTGTTCTATTTTCTTTTTTCCTCTTCCTTTCTCCTAATTCTCTCTGTTGCCTCCAGTTTCCTTTACTTTCAACTCTGAATTCACTTCCATCATCCTCCCAGGTTTATGAATTCTCCTCCTCTTTATGAGCCACAGGAAAAACAAAAGGTCTATTGTATTTGCTTGACAAAATAAGAGCTCAGAGGAGCAGAAGCCCTGGCAAGGGAACAGACACGTATGTTCCCAGTACAGACTGTGAGGTGGTGGCTGAACATGCCCTTGCTGGCTGGCTAGGCTGACTGATATTCTAAAACAGTCATGGAGCTGGAAAGGTGCTCACAACATTGGCTTATTTCTCACTCTGAAGCTGCAGGAAAATCTGGGGAAAATGAGTCTAGTGACTTCCTGTGTGGATTCTCTGAAGTTTCATGCTTTGGTGCTGATTAGTGCTTTTTCTCAGAACATGGGGCAACTCCAGGGAGATGGAGAGATTTGAAAAGAAAGTTTTTTTCCTCTCTCTAAGATACATTTAGATATAGAAATTTTATTTAATATATAGATTCAAGTTCCTATGAGAAGTTCAGTTGCTGCACTGTGCTGTGGGGCATAATTCAGAGTTGCTATGCAATTTAGGTTTTAAATGCAACACATTGAGCCCAGCTTCTGAAGGCTGACTATTAATTATGGTAGGGCTTGTGCACAAAGTCATTGCATTTACCCTAAAACTAAGGACAGCAGGATTTCTGTTACTTGACTAACTTTCTGCTTTTCTGTTATATACATCAAAGCTGCCGCACAGCAGTCTCTTACAGCACTGGAACAGTGATTTTGTTCCGTTTCAGAACTTAAGTCTCCTAATCAAGGTATTTTGCTGTTAAAGAAATGCCCTGGTTCAGGAGGAATGCTGTCTGTGTTCTGGTTCCCTGCTGTCTGTTATCACATACTCTATAGTGAATAAACCCAGTTGCTTTGGGAGCAGCATTTTGCAGGATTCATAGTGTTGTCAATACTGACAGTGTTTCCTTTAAACCTTTATCTTCTAAAATTATATTTATTGTGGTTCTTGTTTTGTTTTAAAGTTTCACTGTACTGCCTTTGTGATTAAGAGGGAGATCTAAAGAGCGTGTCATAGTTATATCCCCAAAACAGTAAAAACAGGACCAATTGAAGAACAGTCCAACATATGAAAAAATAGTGATGATAGAAAAAGACAAAAAGCAGCTCTACTCCAAACACTTGCAATCTTAGCAATCTTAGGAATTTGACTCTTGAATGTGTGACTTTGGCAACTTTGTTCAGGTGATGTATAACAGTAGAGCCAGCGTGCTGACTAGTTTGTGACCACTGATTCTGCATGAAATTAAAAAAAAAAAAAGTCAGTAACTCAAGTGTCTATTGTAAGTCCTGATCTCCAGTAATTGTAATTTTCTGTCAAATATATATTTTATTCTATAGACCTTGTAGGAAAGGATTTCTGCATACTACATCTTACCACTTCGTATCACTGATAAAGTGTTTTATGTTATGTTCTGAAGATCCTCAGGAAGTGCAACGTTTCTGATGGGTGTTCCCTGAGATAGTTCAGTGCAACGCTGTAGATAGCAGCCGTTTTTGAAAGCATGTGCTGCATTTGTGTTGTTTCTTCCTATTTCAGTTAAACTTTTGATGTGATTATAACAGTAAAAAGACTATAGAAATGCTTTGTAATATTATTAGCCTATTCTTCTTCATCTGAGCAAAAGAGTTATACTGTACTGCTAAATGAACTAGAAGAAGAAAAAAATAGGTTACTTTTGAATTTCTAGAAAAATGCTCAGGGAATGCTGTGAAAGTCTTATGTAATTATTGGTGTCTTTTTTTCTTTCTATTAAATATTTATCATTTGCCAATTGAAAGCAAATACTTAAAGGATGCTAAAAAATCTGTGGATTTTAACGTAACAGGATTGTTTTGAAAATAGCATATGACCATCTCAGCATTTCCTCTTGTTAGTTTTTTTGAGCCTGACAGGAGCCATTTGTCTAACTGTATGAAAGAGACTTCCTCATCTTCAGACATGAGGATTCTGTCATTGCTGGTCATAACAGCACCATGGAGTGGTAGCTGGGAGGGAAATCTTTTGGAGGCTTCTACGTTGGTAGATCTCACGAGCAGCCTCATTGGATGTGCACCCACATTTGCTGAATCCCCTCACCACATGTTTTGTTAGAAATGTTGTCCAGTATTATCTGCTTTCTGAAAGACTTTGAGAATCTCTGTAAGAGCAAGTTTTCTCTCTGCTGTGAAAGATACAGGGACCTAAAGTGTTCAGCATCTGCATTCTAGCTGCTATGGGAAAAGAAAGATAAGGAAGTCTGTCTCTTGTGCTGTAACACTAAGGATCGTGCCTTTTCAGTGCTACTGCTATTATCTATTTCTTACATGACTGAGCAGATGGGAGGTGTTACTGCCTCTTGTTATTTTGTGGGATTTAGTGTTTAACTTGAATCCCAGTTCTTGGAGTGATTTGGGATCAAAGCAAGAGAAGTCCTGACTTTGGCTTCTGCAATAAGATGTCTAGATCTGTGAATGGAAGGGTGAGCTGTGGATGCTGTTTAGCTCAACTTTAGCAAGACATTTCATGCTGTCTCCTACAGAATTCTTGTATCCAAGCTAGGACATAATGGTCTGAATGGGTAGACAAGTAGATAGGCAAATAACTGTTGTGGTGGTTGAGTTGAGAGGGTAGTAGTTAGTGGATTGCACAATACCTAGAAGCTGGTAACAAAGAGCAGCTCTACTCCAAACATTTGCAATCAGGGGTTTGCCTCATTGTTCCTAAGGGTCTGCCCCTCTTTAAAGTCACCAGAGAAGAGAGGCACCAGAGAACTCTCTCGGCAGGTTTGTAGATGACACCAAAATGGGGAACCTCCTGTGGCACTGCCAGGTGCCTTCCATCAGGGCGCAAGAGCTAGGGATTGCCGGGTTTGTTCAAGTATTTCATAATCTTTTTGCTTTAGTGTTCCCTAACCTAATTTTTTACGAGTCATGCATCAAGAATAAAATAATAAAAAGCAGAGTGTTGTTTTTATAGATGTAAGGGTGCCTTGGAATGCAAGAAGCATCTCTATCAGTGTCAAGTTAATACAAAACAATGTTAACAGTAGAATTTCAGTTAGGAAAAGGTAAGAGGATTTTGTTGGGATTATCTGTGAAATTTAAGTCAATATAATTTTAACAGATGGTTTTAAATAAACAATGTTAATTTGTTAAACAATGTTAAGTTGTCTATACTGGGTATTTCACTCTTTCACAGAGATTTTGTTTTTTGCTTCAGTAATAGAGACAAACATCTCAATGGGAAACTTTTAATAGCAGTAAACTATATAAAGAATAACTGTTCACTCGCAGACACGAGCCCAACATCCCTCTGGCTTTTGGCAGGCAAAAACTGGGACTTGACGGCAGCGCTGAGCGACTATGAGCAGCTGCGGCAGGTGCCCGCGGGCGGCCTCCCGCGCGCGCCCGGCGCGGCCCAGCGCTGCCCCGAGCGGCCCTGCCTGCAGCGACAGGACGACGGTGCCCAAGGTGAGAGCTCTTCACGGGGCCCGCTGGTTCTGTGCGTCTGCTGAGCGCTCCAGGGAGCTGCCGCTCCTTCCCCATCGCCCCGTGAGCCCCGTCCATGAGACGGGCTTCTTCGCGTAGCCCCTGCCTCCCTGCATCCTGCATTTCACCTGTTTCAGCTGGCATGAGCTTTGCTTCTCTGCATGTGTGGGTTTTTTGGTTTCTTTTTAACATGTAATTGAAGTGTGAAAATAGGTTGTCCTGGAGCAGGCCTGTGGTTCTTGTAGAAGCAATTAGTTGGAGGGCAGCACAGGCCGTGTGTGTATGGAGATTTGCCTGCTTTGTAAGACTAAACAGCCACAGACATCTAAATGATATGGGGTATGTCTGAGCTTTAAAACTGGGTTCTTTTTATGGTTCTTCAGAAGAACCCCCCACCCACAGTCAAATTTATATTTCAAGAACTGAAATCTGAAGAAGAGGAATGAATCAGCTACCTTGAGCAGTTGGCTTCAGTAGGAGATAATAAGCAGGAGGATTTACATTTTTGGGTTCAAGCCTTTTATAGACCTAGTTTCAGACCAGTGTCTGTCTCAGACTATTGGAATACATTTTCATTTTAATTCAGCAAGAAAGTGGAGTTTGCACTAAAATCCCCATGCTTGACAGTTTCTCACCTAGAGAGGTAATAGCACTAGCTTGGTGATTTCAGCAGGGTTTTCTTTGCAGTCTTTAGAAGGAACAGAAGGACTTCCCTCTCCCTGCTGGCTCTTGCCTCCTACTAAACAGGAAATGGCAACTTGGATGTTTAAATACATGGAGACTACTCATCTCCTGCATGGGTCTGTTTTCTGTTATCCATTTGCTGATACGTTTTATTCTGAAACTTCATTTCTTAACCCAAGAATTCCAGACTGTTTAATGCCTTTCCTACAGAAGTATCCTTCCTGCTATTTTTTGGTTTGTTTTCCTATTCTTGTTCTTTTGGAGATCAGAACTGAGGCCATGAAATAAAAAGGAATAACATGATATTATTACCAACATCTTGCCCTTTTTTTTCTTGTTCCAATGCTTATTTTGTCTTAGCAGCCTTACTTGACCATTCAGCAGGCATTTTTTTTCACCATGGTGTGTAAATCAATGTGCAGATCTGTTCTAACACTTGCAGTGCTCATAAATAATTCACCTTTAAAGGCCCTCCGTGTGCCTTACATGGCATTCGTCCATGGAGAATTTCAATACAGACTTGGAGTATAATAAGATGTTGTTCTGCACGTTGTTCTTTGGCTTAGAATTTTAAAAATGCATGTGGGCAAAAACTGAGTCTGCCTTGAATTAATGGTAAGGTTGCTTTTGGATAGATCATTTTGACTTTCAAGTAGCGTGAAATGTTTGGTGTAAAGTAATTGCAAAATGCTGTATTTTTTGAACCACAAGTCAACTCAAGTTTAGTGTTTGAAGCATTTGTTCATTATCATCTGTCTGTCAGTAAGAGTTTCCTCCAATGCATCTTTGGAAACATAAGATAGCTTTCTGAATACATTTTTAAAGAAATACTTTATTCTACCTGTCTTTAATTGTTTGTCTCTTTTGCTAGAAGCAGTGAACTTGTCTGTCAGGTGCACCCTTGTCTCCATTTTCCTCTTACTAAGTGGCAGAACTTTTTGACTTGTGTTGACTAGCCTATAAGATAATGTAGTCTTATAGTCTATAATGTCTCTGATTTTTCTACAGAAAAGCGACTTTCCAGAGGTATCTCTCATGCCAGCTCAGCCATAGTCTCTCTTGCTCGATCACATGTAGCAAATGAATGCAACAATGAGCAGTTTCCTTTGGAGATGCCCGTCTACACATTCCAACTACCTGATCTTAGTGTGTACAGTGAAGATTTCAGAAGCTTCATTGAACGTGACTTAATTGAACAGGCAACAATGGTTGCTTTGGAGCAAGCAGGTGGGTAAATACTTCAGGTGTCAGCAGCTGAATAATCTCATGTTTGGCTTCACATTCTTTAATGATCCCTTGTTTCTGGAATTTGTGTACCATGTATGGGAAGATAAATGTTAGCGGGTAAAAGCAAATATGATCTTTGCAGGATGACACAGAGCCTGATGCTCTGTTTTTTAAAACACTTTATAGTGAAGATTGACGTGTTTTATTAGGGGGGAAAAAAAGAAATTGAAGGAAGGAAGAGGAAAAGGGGGAACAGATAGGGAAATAATGCAATAGAAAAAGACCTGAGTCTGTATTCAGAGTGTTTATCTGAAGAGAGAAAAATGTGTCACCAGGATTGGAAACAGGAATTCTGTGAGATCTGTGTAATGAGGAATGGAAAATACTTGCAAGCTGTAAGTCTGCAGTGAAATGATTTTTTAGTGTAAAGTAGTAAACAGTCTTCTGCATATTGCGGCGACTGTGGACTGAAGGGGAGATGACTGCTGATCCCCATTTCCTCCCACATCTTCTCTGAATTAAATGACTGAGCTGCTTATGAAGTAAACTGTGAATAGCTGTGGTTTTGAGGCAAGTTAGCACTCAGTGCTGGCTCCAGGCAAGTACACTAACCCCATTTTCTCTATCTCATTTTGTTCCATAGTCCATACTTGCAAGCCCTTCTTCCTTCTCCTAGAATGCAAAGTGAACAAATGCTGGGATTCTAATTTTGTCATACCTGTCTAAATGAGCTTTATTTTTGGGCCAATACATCTGCCTCTCAATGCCTACAGCATCTCTGTACACCTCAGAGTCCCTGTGTCCAACCCTGGTGATGCAAAGGAGCTATAAAGCCAGGTTTCTTGGGTACCTTTACATAATCCAGCAGTGACTTTGGCTGCTTTCTGTTACTGACTACGTTGGCTCGTGTAATGCTGTGAATTCATCCAAGGCTTCATTCTCAAAACCCAATGCATAGTTATTCTGCCTGTTCCCACTGCTCAAGTGTTGCTTGATCAGGGCGTGCAGTCCCAGGCTGCAGGTAGGTCGCTATCGTATGTCATCACCTGCTCATTTTTTGACTTTGGTAAGTAATTTATTTGAAAAGCAAGAGATATTTGGATAACAGTGTCACACAGTATGTGCTTAAAAATGAAATAGTATTTAGCAGGCCTTTTTCTGAGAGGGGAGGGGGACAAAAAAAAAAAAAAAAAAAGAAAAGAAAAAGCTACTGGCACAAAATCACAAAATAGAGCTACCAAGCAATAATGAAGAATGAAAACTTACAGTCCCTATCAAGAAAATGCATCTAGTGTCATTAAGAATCATCTAACGCAGGGCAGGAAAAAGCAGGAGATATTCTTTCTTCCATCAGCTCAAGCAAACACACCTGATTTCATAGGACTATCAGAATTTCTATTATTTCGCTAGGTGCTATATTGAAATTGCAATGCTCACAGTCAGTTACACAGAAGTACGGGCTAGAGGATCATAGTGGATTTTGGACTTTAAAAACAGGGTATTCCCTGTATATGAACGTAGAGCTGACATCATCTTCTGACATTCATCCAGAGCTATCTAGCTTTGAACTTGAAACAGCTGCTGAAACTGCTGAAAATTTTCTGCCTCTAACTATCCCTCTTTCAGATCTCTTTGCAAATTAGAATAAATATTCTTTTCTTTAAGTTACTTTAATTATGGCAATAAGTTGACTTACACTGAAGTATTTCTGTTCCTCTTGCAAGACATGAAAGTGGCAAAATCAAAAACTGTTTTGGTCCTAATGCTAGTTAGCGCTCAGTGAAGACTGTTGGTCCTCCCATTATTTGCCTTGTGATGAGAGCAAGAGTAATTCCTGCCAGAGCCTCCTGTACCCTGCTTATCGTAGATACATTGTTGTCTGAAATGACAGCAAATTAATATGAAGTCAGCCTTGTTGCCTGTAACCAACAGAGGGCCCAGTCTGACCGTCTTTTGATGGATGACATCAAAATGAAGGGATATGGTGTGTTTCCTGCCCCCTAAAGTGGAAAGTCTATTAAAAAAAAAAAAAAAAAAAACCAAAAAAAAAAAACAGGACAGTACCTTCTGTAGCTGAGGCTGGGAATGATGTTAAAGGAAAAGAAAGAAGCGTGTTTGAATTTTGGTTTAAAGAAATGAATTGCATGAAAAAATGTTTATGCAAGAAGAGAAACTTTTTTAGGAAAGAGCATCTTACTACTCTCAAACTGTAGATTGGGATAGCAAAATTAACATTAATAGGCTGCAGCATGTGTTCTGTAAAGTGCCCATGTGAGTTGGATGTCTATAAAATCCTGTAAGATTTTAAATATGCTCTTCACTTGCTTAGGCGCTTGCTCTCATTACATCGGTATGTGAAAGGATATTTGGGTTATATCCCTGATGTGCAGGAACCTAGAGCAAAATTCTTGCCACACACCATAATGCTGCGCTGGATATTCAAGGAAAGATCTGCATAAGACACTGCTCTTTACTCACTCTCCACTACTGGGATGCAACTTTCACTATATGTATCATTGCTTTTTGAATATTGTATTAGGTTTCATCGTGCACTTGAAAAAGGGATTGGGATTTTTGTGCATCTTGTAAACTCATCTGTTCGTTACTGCTGGAGCTGGAACGAGGTGGGCTCGCAAGTACTGTGTTGAGGGATCTGTGAACTCTCTTGCAGTCTTCAGGGTGGTCGTTGAGTGAAGGATGACTCAGATGGTGATAATGTTAATTGAGGTCTGTGGGAAAGGAATTTTGCAGCTATAAATACTATATTGTCGCAAGTGCATTTTTTAGACACACGTTTCCCTGTGGGCATTCAGTGTATAGTCTGACAGAAAGAGAGATTATGAAAACAAGGAAAATAGGTCTCACACTATAGCAACTGTTATAATTACGAGAACTGCATTCATTTCCTGAGCTCCAAACTAGAAATGCACTTCGGTGTAATTCAGGTCGAATATGAATGACAAATACCATATCATAGAGTCAGGTAAAGTGCTATAATGTTATAGAAAAACTTGTGTCTTGGGTTGTGAAAGGGAGAAGGAAAAAAAAAAAAAAGAAAAAGAAAATTGGTAAGACTCAATACTCAGTTGCCTTTAGCCAGCTTGGCCAAATCACATATCTGTACACCCTCTTATTTTATGACCTTTCTCTTTTGATTTGCATTCTGGTCAGTGGCTTCTGTGACAGTGCTGGGGTTGCTTATGCATCAGACCAGAAGAGAAGCATTGATTTGATTGCTCAGTTTTACTTATTTTTTCATGCATAACTCAATATTGCATTTCAATGGCAGAAGTTAATGATAAATAGCCTTGAAGAAGCTACTGGGAAGCTGATTTTATCCACCCAGACTAAAGCAGAGAGTTGTTTCGGAAGATCCTTTATTTAAAGGACAGAAAACTGCACTGGTGGATGCTTTAATTATTTTTAAAAGTTGCTAGTCCATGAATGATTAATACACAAATGTGTAAAAAAGCTGTTCTTGTATTTTCCTTCATGTCAATGCTTATAAGCAAAAATTTATGATACTAAGGGGCTAAACCCAAAAATAAATAAATAAGACCTTTTAGATAGTTATGTAAGAAACAAATACAAAAACTCTGTAACCTATAAATTGTTGAAGTCTCTCTGCTGAAGTCTGGATTCAAGGTTCCTGCACCCAGTACAAGTGTGTGTCTTGCTGTGGATGGGCTGAGTGCTGCTCAGCTGCTGTAACTGGCAGGGCTGCGCGGTCCCTAGCTGAGCCATTACTGCTGTTGTGGTGCAAGGAAAAGCTGGGGGATGTTTAGTGTAAGCTGTGGCTTTAGGGAGTAAATGAGGTGTCCAGCATTAGACTTGTTTCCAAGTTGACAGTGCTGTTTTGTGATTTTCTTATTTGGGGAGTGTGAGATTGCGGATATTTTTGCTCAAGAAATGAGAGGTTCCAGTTTCCTATCTTAAGGAAACTGAGCTTTATGTCACCAAGCTGCTCGCAGGGTGCC